CACGGGGATCGTGAAAAAAGGTCTATTTATAAAACCTGTAACTGTGCAGGTATCACAGTGAAACTTTCCGTGCTTATTAACAGAGATAAAAACTCGTGATCGACTGCGTGTATTTTTTCTACCACTTTCTACAGAGGTAATTCATCAAAATTCTCCAACCCAGGGTTTTTAAGAATATTTCAGGTCTATATATTTCTAAACCCAATGGCACAGCGGTATGTCTGCGGACTTACAACGCTAGAATTCGGGTTTCTATACCCGTGGTGGGCAGAGTACAGATAACCCATTGTTTAAATTTGTGCTTAACTTCCAAACAATCTTTATCAGGTTTCATGATAATGTATCTTCATTACTATTTAATTTTTTTAATGCTAAAAATTCCATTTTATTTAAATTCACAGTTTTTCTTTCAGATATACAATGATTAAAAGTTTCTAAAGGAATACTGTTTATTGGAGTTCTTATACTGTCAAAAGATTATTGGAATAACTGCTTATAATTCAACAGATAATCCTCATATTTAAGACTTTTTGGTGTTATACCAATTTTTAAACTACAGGCCAGAGCCCTTTTTTTTTCTACAAGTATTAGGAAATAAATTTATGTATATACTAGCTGGAGTACCCATCCCCTGGACGGAAGTTATGTAAATTCATGATTAATGAAAGGTTATTTTAGGACAAAAAAAGTTGCTTCCCTTATATGAACTTATAAAAACTTCAAAACACAAAATGTGAAACCGCAAATTTGTATGTACCTCCCCATGGATCCAACAAAGATTTATGCCAAATTCGGTGAAGATCCATTAATAGGAGGTGAAGTAGTAGGAAAAAACGCTCCCGCATGGAACTAATGAACCTCCGTACCAATTTTGGTGAAGATCCATCCACACCCTGCGAAGTAGTTACATGGACGTACAACAGACAGTTCTGTTATACTTATATAGATAAAAAAAGCTATGTAGGGCTGGCTATTGAACTTGAAAAAAGAACCAAACAAGATAGGGATGAAAGTTGACATATAACTTGATCTGACTAATGGTAGACTAAGTCATCTCGACTTTACATGGAGAATATAATCCCTACATTACTGACTTTCCCACTTTATCTATCGAAAGCTTGGTGTTTGAATAGAATCTCAGCTTTCATTATTATACCTTTCCTTTAGATAACTTTAGAATACTACCTACTTTATTAAATATATATACACATACATAGATAGATATATTTAAATATGTATATATATACGGTCTACTCTACAGGAACGTGACAAAGAAATTATTCAAGAAGACAGTTAGTTTTTCATTTACTTCACAAAAACCGCTGATTGTTACACTAACATTATCTGATTGAGTCCACGGTTACCAATAAACGTTTCTTCTTTCTCTTGCTGTAAACGTTTTGATTTTACTTGTTCTCCTGTGCGTCAGCAAAATGGTTACGGATTTACAACGCTATAAACCGAGATTCGATTCCTTGCAGTGGCCAGAGTATTGGTAGCCTCCTAACGTTGAAGGTTATGACGGAAAATAGTTCTTTATTAGCATTTTGAAAATAGTTTACCAGGAGCTTGACTATTTCTTATTTATAGAAATAATTTTATTTTAACATCCAAATATTTCATCTTTAGAAACAACAGTATGTCTTGGAAGATTCGAATAGAAAAGCACAAACACACACACACACACAAGATTTAGCTCCATTTTAAATAGTATAATATATTGTTTCGTTGAAAATCACCTGATAGATTTTAAATATTTCTCTTTTGTCCCCTGGAGGGACAGCGGTAAGTCTTCGCATTTACAACGCTAAAATCAAGGGTTCGATTCCCCCTCGGTGAACACAGCAGATAGCCTGATGTGCTTTTGCTATAAGAAAATACACACGCACATTATCTCTCTTTCTTTCCACAGTTTCAAATTAAATAAAGAACAAAGATACACAATGGGCTAGCTGTGTTCTACCCACAAAGAACAAAGATACACAATGGGCCAGCTGTGTTCTGCCCACAAAGAACAAAGATACACAATGGGCCAGCTGTGCTATGCCAACCAAAAGTGTCAAGACCAAGTTAGTTTTTAGCGACATAACCCTGCGGACATACCACTGAATCATTGGGGGGGGGGTGTAAAG